TCATGAAAATAGTTTGGTTCCTTCGTCACTACGTCAATGTATAAAGTATTATCTGGAAGGACAAGAATATTGTATAAAAGGAGATTTACAGCCGTTTTTCAATTCATGATTCAATTCATGAAGTGGGTATTCATGAAGATTCCACTTACTATACTCTTCTAAAAAGGATTGTTCCATCTCCTGATGTTGCTACAAGTAAAGTAAAAGATCCAGAAGTTATACAAAGACAAAGTCATTCAGTACCGATTCAACGATATTTTATCACTCCTTTACAACAAGAGTGTGAAAGTTTCTCTAGAACTCGTATCTGAGGTCAAGGCCAGAGACGAGGTCGTGGAAGGAATGATAGGATTGTTAAACAAAAGAATTCAATTAGCAACATTGGTTTAGAAGATAGTTTTGAAGATGAGAAAGTCAAGAAGGATGCGATGATGGTTAATCAGCAGAAACCTCAGTTCCAAATCAATCTAGAAGATGAAGAAAAATGTGAGTATAGCTCAATATATGATCGGATTAATCACTATGTACAAACTGTGGCCCTCACCCCGATTTTTACTCATAAAATTGAAGGTCTAACTGTCAAAGAAGTACATAGTGCAGGTATGAAAGAAATTAAGTTTCATGTGGTTCTTCATCCTCTAGTTCTGGATTCAATGTAGAACTAGAAGATAATCTTTCTTCTGAATTAATGGAATTACCTGTTGATTGGTACTCGCCTTGTGTTCAAAATCTTGCTCAGCGTAGTATGGTTCCTAAGCAATGGTCAAGAGATCAATCACAATATTTTGAAAAACTTTAGAATAATGATAATCAAACATTCAAGTCTAAACAAGATCTTGGGTTCGGCGCAGTAGGACCTGTTAATGATACAGAGTTTTGTTTAATTTTTACTAATGAATATGAAGAAATTTGTTTGGATTGAGAATGCCCCACCAGAATTCAAAGAAGAGATCAAATCAACAGTAGATGAGTTATAAGAAATTAACTTGGGTACCAAAAAGGAACTGAGGCCAATTTTCATTAGCTCTCTATTTGATGAAGAAGAGTCTATGAATATGATTAAGCTATTGACAGAATTTAAAGATTGTTTTGCTTGGAGTTACGAGGAGATGCCTGGATTGGCACCAGAAGCCGCAGTACATAAATTGGGCCTAGATCCTACTGCAATTCCAGTTAAGCAAGCTCCAAGAAGAATGTATCTTGATATTGAACAACAAGTTATCAATGAAGTTAAGAAATTGATAGACACTAAATTTGTACATGAATAGCAATACCCCACATGGCTGGCTAGTATACTACTGCAATTCCAGAAGATAAAAAATTCACAGCTTTTTGAACGCCAATTAGAGTTTATTGTTATACATTAATGCCTTTCGGATCGAAGAATGGTGGTGCAACATATCAGCAAGCAATGACAAGAATTTTTTATGACCTCATTCACAATCGAGTGGAATGTTACGTGGATGATTTAGTTATAAAAAATAAATAGAAAGAAGATCATTTGTACGATCTGAGAATTATTTTTGAACGGTTACGATGATTTAACCTTAAAATGAACCCCCTTCGGTGTGACTTCTGGGAAATTTTTAGGGTTTGTTGTTCGTCACCGTGGGATTAAAATTGACCCGAGAAAAATTAAAGCTATCTTGGAAATGCCACCCCCTAAAAATTTAAAGCAATTACGATCCTTTCAAGGGAGGCTGGTGTATCTAAGATGCTTTATCAATAACTTGTTAGGTAGGTGTCAACATTTTTCTGCGTTGACTATAAAAGATGCAAAGTTTACTTAGGATGATAAATGTCAATGTGATTTCGAAAGTATTAAACAATATCTAATGACACCTCTTGTTTTGGCAGCACCCATTTCAGGCAGACCTTTAATACTTCATACCGCGGCTTTGGACGACTCCCTCGGATCCCTGCTATCCCAAGTTAATGATGAGGGTAAGGAAAATGCTCTTTATTATTTAAGTCGTCATTTAATACCAACGGAAGTAAAGTATCATCCGATCGAGAAACATTGTTTGGCCTTAATCTTTGCGGTCCAGAAATTTTGCCACTACATGTTTTCTCACAAAATCAACCTTATTTCAAAGTTTAATCCATTGCAATATTTAATGACCCGACCGATACTTTCTGGTAGGTTAATGAGGTGGGCTATGGTATTATTGCAATTTGATATAACTTTTGTTCTACTCCGAGCTGTGAAAGGACAGATTTTAGCAGATTTCCTCACAGCGCACACGTTACCAGTCAATTTTGCTCTCAATGATGATTTACCTGATGAACAAATAATGAATTTGGAAAATTCCAAGACTCAATGTTGGGAATTATATTTTGGTGGGGCTTCTTCAGCACAAAAAGATAAAGAATTGCAAACAATAATACCTGGTAAAGCTAGAATTGGGCTGATCTTCATTACATCAGAACAAGGAATGTTAAGGTATTCTTACCATCTAACATAACCATGTATAAATAACGAGGCATAATATGAAGCACTGATAACAGGATTACAATTGACAATATCGATAGGTGTAACTGACATTAATATCTATGGAGATTCGTAGTTGATTATTCAACAGGTTGCTTGACAATATAGAATTTTGAAACCCAAATTGGAACAATATCACAGTTATACAATGAAGTTATTGGAACAGATTCCAAATATGACAATGTACAGAATACCCAGGGGAGAGAATGCTCTTGTAGATGCTTTAGCCAAAATCGCTAAGAAATTTTCATGTCCACAGGAAAGTTCCATCGAAATAACTGTTCAAGGGCTTCAAGTTTTATCTCAAATTGATATTGATACTTTGGATAAATTGGGTAAAGAAGAAATAGTAATGGCAACTACAGAAAATGCAAAAGATTGGCATCAACCTTTTGTAGAATATTTGCAAACAGGAAAGTTACCGGATGATAAGTCAGTGGCGCATCAGATAAAGAAAAGAGCATTATTGTATGCTTTAATAGATAATGTTCTTTACCGAAGATCTTTTGACCAAATGTGGTTGAGATGCGTGAACGATTCAGAAGCACAAGAAAATATTAAGGAAGTGCATTCAGGACTTTGTGGCACTCATCAGTCAGGTCCTGAGACAAAAATGAAAATCAAGAGGCTAAAATATTATTGGCATGCGATGATGACCGACTCTATTAAGGTTGCTAAAAGTTGTCATAAATGTCACGTACACGAAGTGGTCTTGCACCAACCCCCAAATTTGTTGCACCCAACAATAGTGTCATGGTTGTTCGAATGTTGGGGTACAGATATAGTGGATTCTATAGACCCTCCATCTTCGAGGGGACATCGGTTCATACTTGTTGCAATGAATTATTTTTCAAAATGGGCAGAGGCAATACCTCTTCGGGAAGTGAAAGCACACCATGTTCTGCAGTTCTTCAAAAATCAAGTTGTTTATCATTTTGGAATACCACGCAAAATCATATCAGATAATGGGTTTGCATTTAAAAATACAAAAATCAATAACTTCGTCAGAAGACACGGAATAGATTGGCGTTATTCTACAATTTATTGCCTGAAGGCTAACGGATTGGCCGAGGCTTTTAATAAGACTCTCGTCCAAATTCGGAAGAAAACTTTGGATGAAAATAGAAGAAATTGGCACGAGCATTTATTAGAAGCCTTATGGGCCTACAGGACTACATTCAGAACTCCAACTCAGTTTACACCTTACGATCTTGTGTATGGGTCCGAGGTTGTGTTACCTTTAGAAGTTCAACTTCCATCTCTCAGAGATGACGTCGCCAATAAAATTACTACTGAAGAGAATACCAGATTACGATTAGAAGAATTAGAAAGTTTGGAAGGGAAACGATTGATAGTACAACAAAATATGGAATTATATCATGCTAGAATGATTCAAGCACATGATAAGCTGGTCTGCCCCAGGACTTTCAAAGTCGGTGACTTGGTTCTTGTCCTTAGAAAACCTATTCTTGCACATCGCAAAATAGGAGGTAAATTTGAACCAACCTGGGAGGACCGTTTTTTCGTTTGAGAAGGTTTACTCTGGAGGCGCTTATCAATTAATAAATTGTCAAGGAGAACAACCTATGCTTCCTGTCAATGGACGATATCTACAAAGTATTAAGCGTCATGATGTTTTGAAAGAGCAAACTTTAGAAATAGAGTCTTGTTCTTAGAAGCACTGATGTTCTAGTTATAACAGGGTTCGAACTTAAAATTGTAACAAAATATACTTGAATATATATTAAAAAAAATAAAAAACTAATTTTACAATAAATTCTATTTGTATAATTCTATGTATATAGCACAATACTCTTTTCTCTTCCACACAGCCTGAATCTTGAAGGTAAACCTAATATATATGACTACATGAGAGTTATAGAATATATATGTATATATGTATATATACGTAAATGTAAATTAAATATGTACATAAGAAATATACTTTGTAATATATATGTATATAAATATATATGTAAATAATTAAAAAAATTGATATTGTTCTTGCTTGGGCCTGGTCTGACATACTGATTGTTTTCTTGTTTTGGTGCAGGAAAATTTCAGGAGGAAGGCTGATTTTCACTTTTAAGAATGGCATGGGTTTTGCCCTTAATAAAGAGAAGTTTGAAGGAGGGGTGATAAATTTGATCTTGACTTTGACCAGATTGAGCTGGATTACGAAAGTTCGGCCTTAACTATGGTTAATAAAGAAGAATTTTGTTAGCAAAAGCCTGTGCTAAGATTCAGGAGTAAGAATCAATTCACCGCCGCGAAGAAAAGAAAGTTAGAAAAAGTTGATGAAGCAGAGTCGAGTAATGTTGCGATTAATCAGATCAAGTCGATGGTTATTACTTCAAAGGGCGAGCTTGTTGGTGCTACCCCTACCGACGATCAGCTGGAAGGCAAAGCAACACTCACTCGCACACAGAAAAGAAACTGAAATTGCCGCATCCATAAGATGTTGGAACAATTAAAAGAACAAGGGGAAAATGAAGAAGTTATTGCACAAATGGCAATTAAATTAAAAGAGAAAACTGCTGATCGGCCAGTTGAAGTGCCATCTGAACCATGGAAGGCAGAAGCAAAGGTGATTTTAAGGGAAGCAAAGAATGAAGAAAGATCTATGGAGATTGAGCCTTATATTCCTCAATTTGTAAATAGAACACGTCCTTTACGAATTATTCTGGAACATGAGCTGGAAAAATATGAGAAAGTAAGAAAGCAGAATTTCAAGAATTTTCAGAGACTTCAGGAGGAGTATGTTAATATACTCGAAGGATTAGAATTGTATACCAATGTATTCACTAGCAGTGAGCAGGATGATATTGTGGAGTGTGACTTTTTGGAAATAGACATGGGTCGAGCTGGTCGGTTAAGAAGAAGAACATATTCTGAGCCCAGGAAGTGGAAATGTGGTAAAGGAAGGGTTACAATATAGTATGGCTGCTGTTATAATTTTACTTTTTTGCTTAGGACAAGGAAGGAAATCTGCCTGGAATAATTCGCCACGATGAAGTTGATCCTTTACCGTCATTCATAAAGAGGATGATCAAACAATTGGTAACTTGGTGTATCTTACCAACAGATTGCATTCCCAATAGCTGCATAGTTAATATCTACAAGTCTCGTGACTGTATTCCTCCACACATTGATCATCATGATTTCGTGAGACCATTTCGCACAGTCTCATTTATCAACAAATGCAATATTATGTTTAGAACAGAAATCTAGATTGTCAGTGATGGAGAATTCAGAGGTTTTGTGGAGATCCCTTTACATGTAGGATCAGTTTTGATTCTGAAAGGCAACGGCGCTGATGTAGCTAAACACTGTATCCCTGGAGTGCTATGTACGAGAGTTTCTATAACTCTCAGGAGGATGAATGAGCACAAGGTACCATTCCATTTTAAACCTGATCCTGAGATAGAAAATTTGCAGCCTTATGAGCTATGAGCCATTTAAAGACAACACACCTCAGTATATATTTAGGAAAAGTTGTTTCTACTTTTCCGATGATATGTTAGAAGGTGGGGCTAGTCTTTATATAGCTTATCATTTCGACATGGATACTAACAGTAAATCACCAATTGGATGATATGTAGATTAAATTCAGTGATATGTATCTAGTATTGACGTATGGAAGAACATTCAGATATATAGATCATTCATATGGTTCTGAAAGATATTTTGATTATGTCTTCTTGAATGGAATCAAATAGTATTACATTTGGTATCTGATTACATTCCTGACATGACAGTTTAATGAAAATGTATTGGAATTTCTTTTCACAGTTGTGAATGCAAATTTGGACAATTGATTGAGAAAACAAATGAATTTTGGTTTCTCTCAATTTTGAGAAAGGCTAAAAAGCAAGGACGATGTGTAAAATAACATATGTAATGAATAATATATATATATATATATACATACATATATAAAATTAATTAACAATAAACAACAAAACACTTTTTTTAGAATCATGAAAATTTCAAAGAAATAAATTTTTCTCACCGTGAGTTGATTGTTCCTACATTTTGTAAATTTTGTCTTTTCTTTCACAATCTTGTAAACCTTACAAATTTCATGTTTCCATAAGTCTTCGGATTTTGCGCACTTCATATTTCTTTTACACACGATTTTCATACGATTACACATGATTCTTCACATCTTCATAAATTCATACTACTATCACGTTCTTACACAATTTCACATGATATCTCACATTTCTAATTCCCATCTTCCTTGGCGTAATCTTTTTAATGGTTGTCATTCTTCAAATAGATCTAGTTCGGATGTAATATCTCCGGCGGTAGCCTAAACTGGGACAGTCTTCCTTGGTGTAATCTCCTTGATCATTTCCATTCTTCGACTAGATCTGGTTCGGACGTAATATCCCTGGCGGTAGCCCGAACTGGTATAGTCTTCCTTGGTGTAATCTCCTTGATGGTTGTCATTTTTCTACTAGATCTAGTTCGGACATAATATCCTTGGTGGTAGCCTGAACAGGTATAGTCTTCATTGGTGTAATCTCTTTAATGGTTTTCATTCTTTGACTAGATCTAGTTTGAACGTAATCTCCCTGGCGGTAGCCTGAACTGGTGTAGTCTTTTCTTGGGATTTGGTGTAATCTCCTTAATGGTCTCCATTCCTCGACTAGTCTCTGCTCGAATATAACTTCCCCAGGGGTAGTTTGAACTGGTCTGGTCTCTTTATGTTTTACTTAGGTTTGAGGAGAAGTTCACTTCGACTCTGTAATAAATCCTAAGATCACACACGACATTTGTTCGACTAGTTTCAGCTAGGATGTGACTTCCCCAGCGGTATTCCGGTTGATATAATATTTATGCCTCACTTATCTCTCTACATCCTTTGAAATAAGGTTTAATCTTGATTCTTCCTCCATAAATTCTTTGATATTATTGTCAAATTTTGAATCTTTCCTTTGCACATATTTCAAAAGTCATTTAAGAATTCAAATCCATGACAGCAATTTCAAAATATAAATGCCCGTCCCCAGCAAAAATCCAACTTCACCTCAATTCAAATTCGACATTCAATTTGTCCAAAGCATGGTTATTTGGACATTCTTGCAGGATTGGGTTGATCATTTTGGTCATCGCCAATAGGTGTGGCGTGTTCGTACAACACACCACACCTATTGGGGGTCCATTTGTTGACCTCATTTTTTAGGTCATCTTTTCCCTTCCTTAGATACCCTAGGATCTAGCCTTCGTATTTCTATTTTGACTCTCCTAGAGGACTAGACTGAGATCTACACCACTTAGATATTCAGGTCATTTCTTCGCTCTTTAAAGTTTCATATGGACAATTTATAATCCTTGATGTCCGTTTGAATCGATGAAAGCTGACAGACTTAAGTTAGGTTTAGGTTGGGCTAGACCTAAAGGTATTTCAATTTGAACAAAGTCTAAATTAGGTTGTACTTGTTAGGTCTTGGTTGGGTTAGACCTAAGGGTAGTTCAAATAGAACTAAGTCTATGTTAGGTTAGACTTAGATTAGGTCTAGGTTGAGTTAGACATAAGGTTAAATTTAATTGTAACTAATTCTAAACTAGATTAGACTTGGTTTAGATCTATGTTGAGATAGACCTAAGGTTATGTTCAATTCAAACTAAGTCTAAACTATGTTAGACTTAAAGTTTAGGTTCAACGGAGGTTGAATCTAAGAAAGTTAATTAAGTCTAATGTGAGTTAGACTTAAGGTTTATGTTCAATGTGGGTTGAATTTAAAATGTTAAGATTAGGTCTAGTTTGGGTTGGACCCAAAGTTGAAGGTTAGGTTCAATTTGGGTTGAACCTCAAGTTAGGTTTGGGTCTAGTTTGAGTTAGAATCAATTTTTAGGTTTAGGTTCAATTTGGATTGAACCTAAAGTTAATGTTGGGTCTTGTTTGAATTAGACTAAAAGTTTAGGTTTGTTCAGTTTGGGTTGAACCTAAAGTTAGTTTGGATCTAATTTGAGTTAGAGCCAAACTTTAGGGTTAAGTCTAGATTGGATTGGACCTAGGGTGGTTCGATTTTGGTTGAACCTAAGGATTTTAGGGTTAAGGCCAAGTTGATTTGAGCCTAAGTATAGGTTTAATTTAAGTTGAACCTAAAGATTTAGGATTAGTTCCAAGTTGTTTTGGATCTAAGTTTAGGTTTAATTTAATTTAAACCTAAGGATTTTGGGTTAGATTTGGTTTGGGGTTATTAGACCCAACATTTAGGGTTTAGGTTGGATTTGAAGTGTTTAAACCCAACATTTAGGGTTTAGGTTGAGTCCAGCGTGGTTAGACCCAACCTTTAGGCTTTTGGCTAGGCCCAAGGTTTAGGGTTTAATTTAAGTTTAATGTGGAGTAGACATAAAAGTTTATGGCTAAGTCTAGACCTGATTAGGCCTTTCACTTAAATCTAATTTGGTTAAGTTCAGTTATCAATCTATTGGGCCAAGCTTAAATTAGGTTAAACCTAATCTAGGTTTAGATTCAAATTATACTAACCCCAGATTATTAAGGTAACCTCAAGGTTAGAAAAAGTTGATATGTTGTTAATCCTCTAAAACCAAGGCTTAATCTTAAACTAAGTTTTGGGAATAATTTGGGCTAAAGAGCATATTTTCAATTTTACAGTCTTGCCCCTAGTTTCCTAAAATTTTATTGTAAAATTTTAAAGGGTGAAAGTTGTTATTTTAGGGTTTAATTTTATTACCCATAATTTCTCAGCCAATTCCCATTTTTAATTTTCAATTTTATGATTTTTTTATATTTATTTTTCAAAATAATTACGAAGTTGGTAGAAAATTAGTCATTTTCATTTTAGGGAAATCCCCTGATTTTGGAAAAATCAAAAAATGTTCCCAATGGTAGGGGAACAATTTTGACAAACTTCATACTTTTTGGATTTATATTTAATTTTTAATAATTAAAATGTTATATAGAGTATTTAATTAATTTAAAAATAAATACAAATTAATTATTTTTAATTTTAATTTTATTATTTTCTCCTATGCTCAATGAGTCCAAAGGCATTTTTATTTAATTTTTATGATTTTTCTACACAAAATTATTCAATTTTAAAGTTTCATTATATCATTTGGATTTAATTAAATAGAAAAAGGAGGAATTTCCTACTTATCCACGTGGCATCCCTGTCATCTTTGATAGTGTCGAAACTCCACGCAGCGTTGTGTGAGTTGTAGCGCTTTCCACACAAGCGCTAAGTTGACCCTCGGTTCGCTCCTCTAATACGCAAGGGTTGATGGTCTGATCTAGCCAATGCTGACCATTACATACACGAAAAATGGATTACATTGGTTCATCGTCCACACTGGACAATGAACCGAAGACCGTTCATGGTCAAATGCTAGGGTATAGTAGGGTTTATTTTTAATTTTAGTTTTATTTAGAATTTTTAAGGGTATAGGTCATCCCATATTATGATGGGTTAGCTTGGGTTATGTATGACTCATTTAAGAATGGGTCATGGGCTTAGTTCATGGGCTTGGGCCATAGTCTTAGATTATGGGTTAAGGCTGTAAGATTTAAACATAATATAAAGCCTAATGGGACAAAATCACTTTTAATTAATTAATTAAAAGAATGATAAAGTTGACCATATGATCATGGGTTGACCATATGGTCCATGGTTGACCACATGATCCAAGATTGACCATATGGTCCATGGGTTGAACACTTGGTCATGGATTGGAGGGAGGAGGTGAAATGGTCAATTTAACAAATATAGAGCTTGGCTTAATAATTTGACCATCTCAATGTTCCATCAAAGTTTGGGTTCAAAGGGGGCACATTAGGGTTTAGGTCTAATTTTTAGGATTTAGTGGAGTTAGGGAAGTCCCTGGTGAGGCTGAGGATCATATTGTGTAGACCCCTCTCCCATAGTGGTTATGGTGGTCAAAGTGGGTCCTAGGATCTACAGTCAAGTTCCCAGGGCTTCAGATGGATTTTGGGGACCTAGGGAAAACAGATAACTCCCTAGGGTTTCGGGTTGATCTAGATGATCTAGGGAACGTCTAGCCCCTAATAGTCAATTTAGGTTCACCTAAGGCATGTCTAGCGTCTTGCCATGGTGGCTAATTTGGGTTCCTCCCTGGTCAAAATTCTAAACCCACTCAACCAAGGGTTGGGGACTTGAGCTTGCACTGGTGAGGTCCAAGAAGACACAACCCTAGTTTAGGGTCATGTATAAGTGGGTGAGATGAGTCCTCACAAAAGTGAGGTCAACAGCGGTTGACAATGATGAACCCTAATCTTGAGAGAACGAAGGAATGTCAAGTGATGGAGATAAAATGAAGAAAATGGCGAACCCTAAACCCTAAAGTTGAATAAGAATTTGAAACATTTATTTTACTGTAGAATTTGAAACGCCGAACACTACATACCTAATAGATTTAATTTTTATTTTTTTCTTGGCGGACCGGGTCCGATTCTTTAATATTTACGTGAATAAGAATTTGAAACATTTATTTTACTGTAGAATTAGAAACGCCGAACACCACATACCTAATAGATTTAATTTTTATTTTTTCCTTGACGGGCCGGGTCCGATTCTTTAATGTTTACGTATAATAATATTTTTTAAATACATAACAAGCACCCGTTTAAGATTGGCATTCGGATGTAGAATTGCCTCTAAGCAGATTTTTTAGATTATTTTTAATAATTTAATTTCAAATAAATATTTGAAAACTATTATCTAAATTTTAAATATATCATGTTAATCTTCCATTGCGTGACTATATGGTCCGATCTCATCAGAAAGAAAATGCAAGAAAAAAAAAACTCCTTTGTAAATGTAAGGGAGCATCTACCATCTATCATCTAAATTTTACATTATTATATTTTAACCACTCAAACCTTTCATAGCACATAAAAAAGACACCCATTTTAATTTTTAAAAATGAAATACATCTTCTTATCCATAAATAAGATGATATGTATGCAAAAATTAAAATTTACTTGTCAGACATGTAAATACATAAGAACTGAATGATATATAAGTAAATCTTCTTAAATGTAAAATAACGACAAAAAGATGTAGGGCAAACCATGATGGACAGGTGAGCCATCAACAACTGGAAAACCCCACACTTTTTCAAATTATTCGCCAATGCACTCACATGCATGTGATACAATGAGCTTCCAAATTAAAAATAGAAGGATACGTACCGATCAACATAGGCATTTCTAGCAGAGCAGAAGCCACAGAAAGGCGGCCATGGCGACCGAACTAAGAAGGGCAACACCTCTACCATATTATATGAATATTCTTCTTCTTATACTATTTATCTGCAACAGCTGCAGTGCAGTCATGGAAGATCATATCCATGGGTACAAAAACTCATCTTTCTTGCAGAATATTTATATATCAGAGTGGGATTTAGAGCCAGAGAATGGAAGAAGGCTTCTTCAGACGGGAAACCACATAAGTTATGGGGCTTTGGATCCGGATAGGCCAGCTGGGGGAACTAACAAGCCTGGGAATGCTTATAGTAGAGGCTGCCAGGCTAACTATTACTGCAGAAGCTAGACCTCGTTTAATCTGGGTTGGATCACTCGCTTTATCAGCTCTCTCTTGTCAAATTAAGCATGTTTGTTTTGATTTTTTTATGAATAAGCCTTTTTTCCCTTTTTTTTTTATTTTTGAGGAGAAAATCTACTTGGATCCTATCCTTATTTGGGGGTTGATCAAATTGACTAAACTAGAGGGTGTAAATTGTAATTAATTCTTCTTAGATCACCTCATCAAACGCTTAAATGACTCAAGTTTTGGCCAAGTTTGATTTTAAGGGAATATAAATCTCTCTTCTTTTAATTTATTATTATCATTATTTGATATCATGCACTAAGTTTTCATTGTAACAGAATTTCTTAAAAAGATGATTTTCAGAGCAGAAACAAACAGAGTATCGAATTTTAGATCTTGTAGATGGGATTAAAGCTCTCAACCAAGAGATTAATGGAGAGGGACGATTTTAACAGTTTCTTTCTTCAGTAAGTTTTTATGAGATTTAGAAAATCGAACCAGACAGGTCGTTCTATTGCATAAAACCACCAAATTTTATGCATTTTACATACCTAAACTCTATTTTTTACATTTATACCGCCCAAATCACTAGATCAAATCAAATAAACCATTATTACAAAGAAATTCAATTTACATAAATATCATTCAATTTTACTTATTTACACATATGACGCCTAAAACTCTTCTATTTTATATTCATACCACAAAAATTATCCATATCACATAAAACATATCACGATTTTAATTTTTAAAAATTGAAATACATGTTTTCATGTATAGATAAAATAAGATATGTTAAAATTAAACTTTAAGTGTTAGTTATTTAAATACATAAGGATTGAGTGGGATGTAACTCTTATGTATTGTTATTTTTAAATACATTTATGATTTTATTGGTCATCAGGTTGAACCTCCGATTCAATCACATCAATTGTGGCACTTACATACTAATATAGCATTTAAAGTTTATTATTTATAAAATTAACAACAGTTTTCATATATTTATCAAATCCACACTCAAATATCAAAATTTGCAACAAAATTCCAACCTATAGTTTCAATTTTTATATGACGTCCTGCGCGCGTGAAACCATGAGTTGACTGTTCATGATATGACGTCCTGCGCGCGTGAAACCATGAGTTGACAGGAAAACTTGGGTTCATACATGTTATCTTATTTTAAAACCATGTGCAATTTTCAACCTTTCTAAAGCGCTAAAAAAATGCCATGCTAAGAAATTAGAGGCAATATTTACCATATAAAACAATGACGATAACAATTAGTCTTTATCCCATTAAGTGGTCGGGTCGGCTACACGAGTTTTTTTTCTCCATTATGTCCTATTAGAAGTCATATTATCATTTAATTCTAATAGATTAAGATCATTTTTTATACAGTATGCCTAAATTTTTTTCGGTCTATCTCTGCCTCTCTTAACATAAATAGAATCTAAACGAGCCAGTTGATATGAAATACATACTTGATATGTCCCCAAAATATTGGCTTAATGAAGCATGAATCTTGATGCACGTCGGAGCTAAAAGCTTCAAATATTTAATTACATATATTATGATTCAAATGAAGTGTCTTGATAAATGAGTCAATTGATAAAAAAACATAATTCAATCCCAGTCCAAGTGAGCCTAAACAAGACACTTAAAGCATAATAAGAGATTTTGAAATATATTATGGGAATCAAATGATTTTCAAATCTAACAAATTTATAGTCATATCGAGCATCTCGATGAGATAAGTTCAATAGGCCCAAGATCACTTAATTCTTACATCATTAAGAAGCTTAAATACTCTTAAAATATCATCTGATCAAAGGGTTCACTCTAGGTCATCGAATGGAGTGGTATGGATTCATATTGTATTTAAGAAGCATGCTACTCACCAAATCTATAAATAGACTCTCACTCTTTTCATGAAGGGGGTCTAAGCCTGGAGAAGAAAGCTAAAGAAGCTCCAAGCTTTTAAGGGTTATGAGTTTCATCACAGCCATCTGGCCACTGCTACCACCAGAACACTGCTATTCAGACATCACTGTTACTATCGTCATACCACCTTCATATGGCCACTATCGACATCGGACCACCACTACCCTGCCACCACCATCCCTACTGTCAGATTACCATTGTCTTCCCATCATCATAACTAGACCACTGTTGTTCGACCATCACTGTTGTCACTGCAAAACGAGATTGTCTTCCCATCATCATAACTAGACCACTGTTGTCACTGCAAAACGACCACACTCTAGTCTCCATTGTCGAACTACCGTTACCCAACCACCACCATTGCCATCCTTGGACCATCGTCGCCTAGCCACCACCACCATAAGACTACAACTACATGGCCACCACTATTGTCATCTTTAAACCATCATCAACGGGTCATTGTTGTCGGACAAGTGGTGTCTGGCCACCACTATTACAATAGTTGGACCACCGTTGTTTGGCCGCCGTCGCCAGAACTTCATTGTCCGAACACCACTAGCATTGTTGTCAAACTACGGTCATTGGGTTGTCGCTACGACTGGACCTCTACTACCTGACCATCACCGTTTTGACGTTATTGACGACACTAGCATCAAATTTTCTAGCACATTACCTCTACTGTCGATCTTCTTTGATCGCTTCCAAGTCACCATCACTTCCCTAAAAAATTCCATCACTCCTCTAGCAGAATTCACTTTGATAACGCCCACTTGTGTAATATTGCTTCCGGCTATTCAAGAGTCGATAGAGTCTCGTAACCTACATCGACATGGTTTTTATGGTTTCGGGTTTTTCATGTAAAAACTATAGTTATTCTCTATCGATTTTTCTTGTTATTTGTATGCGAGTTGCTTTTTCGCATAATACTAGGACGTAAATATATCACTCTACCGCTACAAATTTACTTGCACACAATAATATGTAATGTTCCCCATGCTGTACTTTTCGAATCGCATATTCTTGTTAATTTTTTGAATGAATGTTTTTTAACTCACATATATTATCAATCAAACACCTTCACTTCTATTAAATTACAAACTTTTGTACGGATAACTTGTCATCCTTGTAACATTTGAATTATAATATTTCCATATGTATAGCACCATTATCATTATAGCAATATTATCTAAAAAACATTAAAAAGATAGGTTCTTTGTTGTGCTAAGCTTAGCTATTAATGTTATTTAGAATACTTCAATGAAGGAGAACATCAAACTTAAACCTTTCACTATAAATAACATAGTCTAAATCAAAAGAAATTGAACCAAACAGTCCCCGATTATTTAAGAAAAATGTTCTATTTCAATTAAGAAAAAAAAATTGCAAACATTTAGAGATAAAAATAAAACCTTTTTGAAAATGAAAACAATAACGGAGTAACTAAAATATTAATTTTTAAACTTATATATTTGTTTATATTTTCAGTTAATGCCCATCCATCAAGAAATTAATAGAGCATTTACATATGAACCATTCAATTATTATATATTTACATATATAACATCTGAGCTTCATTTTTTACTTATATGCCTCCTTAACGATGCATGAAAAAGTACATTTGAGTTTTTGAAGTAAGAAAAAAAAAATTGCATTTTTTTTATGTGATATGAAAGATTTATGTGGTAAAAGGATAAAAGCAAAATTTGGGTGTTAAATATGGTAAATACATTGGACTTGGGTGTTATGTATGTAAATGCCCCAAAACTAATATGATAAGACTCTACATGAGCCCAGTATGCCATCCCTCAACAACATCAAAATCATTTTAGCCAACATAAAAGAAAAAAAAAATGCATAAAAAATATATTATAAGGCCCAAAGAGGAAAGCTTACTATATTTGCTATTGATATTTTTCTTCACTTACATTTTTGTATAATGGTTGCAAATTCACGAGAAAAATTTATGTACGTAAGATACCCGCATTATATTCCCTACAACCTCTCTGTAACCTACCTGCAACATGCATGTAACTTATAAATCTATGAAAACAGAAACGTAAAACTTACTAGTTACAGGTAGGTTACAAGGAGTTTACAGGGGGTATAACGTGAATATAACACTCAATGCCCTCTTTATAACCTACCTTACGTACCCAATGCTGCTGCGTACATCTTACTTACGTAAATTTTTCTCCAAATTCACACCTTGGATATCTACAACAATCAAAACCTTCTACTCTGGCTTATGCTTGTGGCGATCTACTGCCCATAACCTCCGTCCCACAAACTTCAGAACCTCATCAATCAGCACCACCGGGAAAGATACCACCAAAACCAGAATCCACTCCTTCAGACTGAGTGCAACCACGCCGAACACGCTCGACAAAAATGGAACATAGAGAATGAAAGCATGAAGACTCAGCGAAACCCCCATCGCAACAAGCAGCCATGGATTTCTCCAAGGAGGCATTCTAACCAGGCTGTTTTCCTCCGACAAGGCGTTCAGAGAATTGAACATCTCGATCGCAACCAGAACGGAGAGCGAAAGCGTGGCGGCTTTAATCTTTCCGGCTGTGAAGTATTCGCAGGGATCCGAGAAGGAGATGACCCTGTTTCCAGCCAAGAATGGATCTGGAGAGAAATCTGCCCATGTATGGCATTCACTCCATGATCTGAGCTCGGCGAGTGAGACTAGGGTATGGCCGTCGCTTGTGAGATCAATGCCGATGAAAGAGGGCTGTGTGTACCATAGAATGAAGATGCCGACGGTAGCCAAGCCTACATAAGAACCAATCACCTGCAAAAGTATGGCTTATTTCATGAGAAATAGTGTGTGCCATGTCAATCTGCATCTATAAATCTAAACCATACCATGTAGCGGATGAGGATCCAAGAACTAATGAGTGCATCGTCACTCTTGCGAGGAGATTTTTGCATGATATCAACATCAGCAGGGTTGAAACCGAGGGCGGTGGCAGGAGGGCCATCGGTAACCAAATTGACCCATAGTAATTGAACTGGTATCAAACATTCTGGTATTCCAAGAGCCGCGGTAAGAAAGATGGAGATCACCTCACCTACATTAGATGATATCATGTACCTGCAAAAGGAGAAAACTCTAGTGATTCACGCCCCTCAATCAAGAAAAATTTGAGTACGGAAGATGTAGGTAGGTTATTCAGAGGATATTTCTGTAACATCTCTGTAACCTACCTCTCTGACGTACTCGGCACTGCGCATATCTTACTTGGGCAATTTTTTCTTTAATTCCTATGTATTTACATATCCAACACCAAAATTTTGCTCCTCACAATTATACCACCTAAATCTTCCTTATTTAATGGTATCTTAATGCAAGGAGAAGAAATTACAACACCTAATGAAAGATTTCATGTTATTGTATATTGCACGTCCTTCTGCTACAGCAGCAACAATTGTGCTAAAATTGTCATCGGCCAGAATCATATCAGAAGCCTCCTTTGCAACCTTGAAAGGGACAAAGAGACAATCTTAAGAAAAATAATTTAAGCGTACAGCATTTAAATTAATATTATAAAATTAAAGTAATATTATAAATTTAAATTTAATATATTAAAGGTAGGGAGGCAAGAGAATGAAACCTCAGTTCCAGTGATACCCATAGAAATTCCAATGTCAGCAAGTTTAAGTGCAGGAGCATCATTAATGCCATCTCCTGTCATTGCAACAACCTCACCCATGTCCTGGAGCAGCCTCACAATGTCTTGTTTGTGTCGTGGCTCGGCACGAGAGAAAACTAAGCCTCCGGTCTTCGACAAAATTTCGACTTTCTGACTAATGTGAAGGCTACTGAACTCTTTGCCAGTGAAACTCCTCCACTTAACAGTTTGTAGGCGAGGAAATAATCCAATTTCCTGACAGATTGCTTCTGCAGTAGACTTGTTGTCTCCAGTTATCACCAATACCTTAATTCCTGCTCCTCTACAATCTTCAATGGCTTTATAAACTTCTGGACGAGGAGGATCCTGGAAAAAAAAATCAACATTAGTGTTGATTGTTGTTCTTAATAGGAGTTTAGTGATAGAGAAAAGTGTCAAAATGATCCGTCTCTTTAAAGGGTGCTATTTTAGCCGTGTCAATAAAAATGCCAACTTATTTCCCACTCTTTTAATGGATACCAAAATAGTCCTCCATTTAAAGCGAAAATATTTACGTACGGAATACGCACGCAGCTCTCCGTGCGTAATCCCCTCCCAATAACCTCTCAATAACCTCTGCGAAGGTTATTGATATTGGGGGGGTTATTGCGGAGTTATTTCGGCGTTATTTGGAGTCAATAAACTTACACCATATAAAAAGTAAGTGTAACTGTGGAATGTGAAAGTGTAACTGCGAAAAAATTATTCCATACGGACAGCGTATGCATATGCGGTCCGATCTCGACCGTTGATCAGGTTTTTTTAAGAAAAAAAAAATTAAAAATGGGGCCAACGAAATACCCATTTGCTTTGATCGACGGTCGAGATAGGACAGCATATGCATCTCTGCATACGTTGTTCGTATGGAATAATTTTTCGTAATTGCGAAGGGTGCTGACTCCAAATAATGTCTAAAATAACTCCGAAATAACCCCCCATAATCTTCACAGAGGTTATTGAGCAGTTATTAGAAGGTGAATACGCACGGAGAGCTGCATGCGTTCTCCAAACGTAAATAGCGCTCCATTTAAATAGTCATCGGACTAATTTGAAACTTTTATAGACTCTGGGACTAAAATGAACTCATGTGAATAATCAGGAGATTATTTTGACACTTGCTCTTTGCTAATACTAACAAGGTAACTTACTCTAAGACCAACAACGCCAATGAAGATTAGATTGCTTTCGATTTCAGAGTAGTTGTTTGGATCGAGAAGCTTCATATGTGCAGGATGACTGTCTGTAAAGTAATCAGAAAACTCTCCCAAATCATCTTTATACGCAAAACCTAAGCAACGCAGGCCTTTTGAACTCATATCATGAACTCTAAGAAGTATCAGCTGCCTGCATTGCTCGTCCAGTTGAACAACTGACTTATCTGAGAGCTGCACATGGGTACTTCGTTCCAAAACACATTCAACAGCACCCTAAATATGTAAAACAAATGAGGAAAAATAATGAAATTAAATAAAAGAAATAAATTATTGCATAGACAAGCATTTAATATGATTTGCTAAAATTTTAAAGCATCTTAATGCATCAAGGTCCAAAAATATGAGTATGTAACTTTACGCCTGAATTACAGACTCGAACTACCGAAGATTTTAAGGCTGTTAAATATTGGAGACAAAGGCCGTTCCACAGTAATTAAGCATTTTATAACACAAATGAGAATTGGCTAATTTGCGTTAAATTTAGTAATTTTCTCTTCTTGTGATAACATGTTAGTAATAGACAAGGGGTACATTAAATCAAATAAAAAAAAAATTGCGTGTATAACAATACAGCTAGAACAATTTTAATGGATTTGAATTCAAAAATATTATATGAAAGTAGTAGATTTTGTGTGGGTATTACAAACAAACTATTTATCATCAAGAGAGATCAACGGTCAAATTTTTATAAGAAGTTATCAAATCAAACCACCAAGTTGGTTTTAGAATGTGTATCAGCGTCATCAATCTTGATTTTGCATTTCTAGGTACTGGGTACTAACATAGAAAATTAATTATGAGGAGGAACATTTTCTACATAATGATAAACATTTTCCACGTGATTTTATTTTAGGGCGGTGTTCCGAACAAAGGTTGTGCATCTAAAAATTTTGGGTTAAAATGTGGTGAATAACTGATTGGTAGGGAAACAAGACATCAAGATGACTAAAGGAGTTATAAAATTATGAGACTCTATTGATGAGATAGGTGACAGTAAACACGTCATCATTCCAAAACTTTTTTGGGACATTAGATTGAAGCATAATTGAGAGAGCCACTTCAAGGTGTCGATTTTTTCTCTCACCTATCCAATTTTGTTAAGGAGTGTCCGTACAAGAGTTATGATAGAGGATGATTTTACTCACCAAGAATTCACCTAAAATAGATTTAAAAAAATTCATGACCATTTTCGATTCAAAGGACTTGAATCGATGATTTAAATTGGGTCAAAATGAAGGCGTAAAAGTTTTTTTATCATTCAAGTGTGATCGTCAATTAGGTAAGGAACTACCTTTTATTAGTATAGCTAGAAGTAAGAGAGAGTCCCCACAAATCACTATAAATAAGTGAAAAGAGAGTGGAGACGTGTAAGAAGGATAAATATGGAACATGATAATGTTTATCTAATTGATAAATCTCACATTTGAAGTTAGCAAGATTTTTATTAATAAACATCAACGGATATAATTTTTTTAAATATTGAAAACTGGGATGACCCAAACGATAATGCAACAACATAATCGAATATTCAGTGTGGATCAAAAAATACTGCAATTACTGGGAAAAGTGTCCTCATCTCTGTGCCTTTCTCTTGGAAGAAGTAAAGCCCCGCTACTCGCTTAGCAGTTCTAATCATCATCCCCGAACAATGCTCATGAAAGACACAAATATCAGGAGAAAAATAAGCAATGCAATCTATATCATTGGTGTCAACGTACTAACTGATAACAGGTTATATTTCAGCAGGGGAACATGTAACAGATCTTCCAAGGTTAGACTGGTTGTTAATATAACTGACTCTTTACCAGCAATAGAGTTACAGAAGTCATCAACTATTTTAATTTGTGTTTTTCCCAGAGCAAGGGCAATATATCGAGAAAGCTTGAGTGCGTTCATTCATTTGGCCCGTGGCACCTGAACCAATAATCCACAGACTAGAAGACACAAAAGAAGTGAGTGCCACAGGAATGGTACCTTGACGAAAATGGGACGTCGATGGACTAGAAGAGAGCTGACTAGAACCAAGCAATTTGATTAATTGTTCCATCTGACTCTTAAGAAAGTCGGATGATTTCGGAGTGTTCCGAGTGGGAGCAGGTTGTATTGTAACAAATTCAGATGTTGTAGTGAAACCCAAAGATGAGGAGTATTTCGCTGACAGTTTTACGCTGGTTTTCCATGGAGTTTCCAGCATTTTTCCTGAGTATGGTTGGGTTTGTGACTATAATAATATGTGGAGTCAGTGGCTTGAGATGGCATGGACGAGTGTTGAGTTTTATTAGTACCAAGGCAGATGATTGACTTTAGTGAAAGTGCCAAGCATGAGAAGCCTCTGACTTTCTTCGCGTCAAATCTCTATTTATGCGGCATGAGCAGAAGGAAAGTGATCCCGACCAAGGATACAACTCCCAACTTCATCAAGATCTTTGTTAAAGTCAGCAAGTAACTGAAATATGTGATATTTTTCTATGATCATCTGAAAGAGGGAAAAGTCCGTCAGAGACTTCTACGTATAGTCATAGTAAAAATTGCATTCCATGCATAAGGCCAAAAAATCATTGTAGTACTGGGTCATGGTCATCGTTCCATGTTACACCTCGCAAATTTTCTTGGAAACCTCATAAAGTTGGTTGGAGTTCCCTGCATCTGAGTATGTATCCCCAACTGCAGCCTAAAGGGAGCTTGCAGAAGGAAGAAACAAATAAGAAGGGCTAATTTGCAGTCTTTGTAGTGTTAATAGGCCATGACATGACCATGAAATTCTCAACTTCCCATATTTCATACATTGGGTTAGTTTTAGGAGATTCACGAATCATTCCCGTGAGATAGCCAAATTTCTCCTGTCCTTTAATGAATAAAGACACGCCTTGGGATCATTAGATAAAATTGGATCCGTTCCGTTTATGGGTTGTAATTAGGAGTTCATGTGATTTTCCAGTCCTCCGGTCTATGGAGGGATTGAGATTGGTGTTGACCCTCCGGTGGACTCAAATACACCTATGAGAGAAGGCTCGGTGGTGAAAGAGTCTGTCATGATTCCAACTGACCAAATGTGATGTTGGATTACAGAGACATTGGAAGATCCTGAAGGCTGAACAGGAGAAGACCTGACGGTAGTACAATTCCCTGAAAGCACCAACTGGGAAGGACTGGCGAACTGGAGAAAATTCAAGCCAGCGAAAAGGATCTCTAATGGTCGGAAACACCCACCAGCCAACCCAGCGGTACTCTACAGAGCCGACGACTTGAGGCCTATGGCGGTAGAGGCTTGCGTTGCTTTTAGAGGGGTTGGCAGCAAAGGCTATCGCTGAGTATGGTAGCAGGAAGGAAAAAATAGGGAGAACCTGAGTTGGTCGGCGACAGAAGCCCTGAAGGGAAGGACCTACAAGTGGTCGACGGCTAGGGTGGAGGCTCTATATTTAGAACTATGGCTCTCATACCATGTTAGATTTTGAGAATAGAGCTTCTTACTTTCATTGATAAGAAAAAAAGATATAAATGTGTATTATAAGACCCAAATAAAAAGAAAGACACAAATTCAGAAGTAGACCAATTTTGAAATACATAAATATAAAAACGAAAAATAAAGAAAGCAAATAATAGCTAATAATAACTGCAACACTAATTAGTCTAATAATTAAGCTAATAATTCTAATACAATCATATAACATTCATTTCGCAAATTAAGATCATTCATCTGAAATTTCATATGAATGAGTAAGAGGCTAAATTTCATAATCTTTAAAGATTATTTTATCAAAGCACCAAGCATATAAAAGTAACACTTTAAAGCATAGGCCATCTACACATTGAGATAATTAATCGATTTTATAGTGCAGAGCACTAGATTAAGTCAAAATATTTTAACAATTATAACAAAAATAACTAAAGCAATTTTAATGGATATAATTTCAAAAACATTGCATGAAAGTAAAACCTTGTGTGAGGTACTAAAAGCAACTATTTCTTCAACAAATTTGATCAGAGGTCAAATCTTCATAAATTTTTATCAAATTGCATAACCAAATTTTTTTTAGTTTATAGATCAATATCAATAATCTTGATCTTGGGTGTGTTTTGTAATTCAGCTATTACGCACCTTAACGAGAAGACGATTAGCTCCCGTTGGTTCGCGGACAATTACGCTCATAGATTTGCGAATTCTGTCAAACTCCAAAGAGGCAATTCTTTTTGATCTCTTTATCCACCACTCACAGCATCCTACAAACATTTAAAAACAAATATACACCAATGATAACTTGAACAGCATAACCATTAACGCCTGTACTGTTATGCATCCATTAACAAGCGCTTATGTAATCACATGACAAAAAGAGGCATTTACATAGCACACAATTCTTTCATATTAACGTCTGACACCAAAACTTTAATATTTATAGACAAAGCATTAAAATCCTTAATATCATATCAAAAATAGCACTATCACCATTTTTTAAAAGTGAAATCCACATTTTCATACATAGGTTTAAACATCAAAGCGCTATAAATGTAAATATGAAAGTGGCTGTGAGATTTGTAAATACATGAGAATTGTATGCCACGTATGTAAATTTCTTTAATAAAAATGCAGAAATTATGCCAAAACAAACCTAGCTTGACCGTGTTATGACCAACAGAATGTTCAGCAACAAACTTTGAATCATAAAACCTGTTCCTGGCCTTCGTATCAGGGATTCCCATCTTCTCAACCAACACCTTCAGAAGTATAAAATGCACCAAACAATAAGAATTCAGAACATCAGATTCAGTTTATTAAGTGAAGTCATATTGTTTCTGCAAGCATTCATAGTGTTCACATTGTTTAGTTTTTTTATCACAGCTCCATGACATTTTACTTTCGGTGACAAATGCAAATTCAGCATTTTGCTTTTCTACCAGAAACTCTTCTAAACGATAGTTCCTTCTCACCCTTCTCTTTTGGTTTATTTTTCTATTATACTAAGCTCAAGATATTCTACAAGCAAACTATCACAGAGAGCACAGAAAATAGAAAAATAACACACCTTGAGAGCTGCCTCAGTAGGGAGTCCTGTAGCTCTGAACAAATAATTTTTGCAATACACCCCCGCATCATTGCAGATTGCGCATATCTGAGCTAATATTTGCATATTTGCCTCCATTTTTCCATAGGTCCACTTACTAATGCCTCCATCCTTTGGATTGAACGTTGAACCTTCAACATGAAAAACCTGAAAAGTTATTGCACTCCCTCCTAGAGTGAAAAACTCATTCACAGACATCTGGTTTGTTGTAAGAGTTCCTGTCTTATCCGAGCATATTACAGTTGTACATCCTAACGTCTCAACACAAGGAAGCTTCCTTACTATCGCATTCTTATGTGCCATCTTCCTGGTTCCCAGAGCTAAACAAGTAGTTATTACAGCAGGAAGGCCCTCAGGAATGGCAGCCACAGCCAACGCAACGGCTATTTTGAAGTAGTACGTGCATTTTTCAAATGAGAAGCGAAAATCCCATATGGATGCATTGGGAGCATCCCAAGTGATGAAATTTCTGTAGTTGATGGCCCATACTACAAGGCAAACCAGGCCAATAGCAAAGGTCAACCTTTCCCCGAATTCATCCAGCTTCTTCTTCAGAGGAGTGTCGTGTTCCTCCAGCGAAGCTTCATGAATCTGCCTCTGAATCATTCCGATTTCGGTGTTCATTCCTATACTGGTAACAACACATAAACAACTTCCATTCACAACAGTAGTTCCTGAAAACAACATGCACTCTTTCGCTTGCAGCTCGCAGTCATCAATAGGCACAGGGCTTGTGGTTTTTATCACAGGCATGCTCTCTCCGGTGAGTGAGCTCTGTTCGATTCTTAACGTTGATGTTTTCAGAGCTGCAATTCTCATGTCTGCAGGGACTTTATCACCAACCCTTAACTCCACAATATCTCCAGGTACCAGTTCCCTGGCAGGCAAGTCTTGTACAAAGTAGCCATCTCGAAGAACCTTGGCATGTTCGCATTGCAGCTCTTTGAGAGCTTTGAGAGCCTTTTCAGCATTGCTCTCTTGCCAGACTCCAACAACAGCATTGAGAATGAGAATCAAGATGATTACTAAGGGTTCCACATACACCTCAAAACCTGAATGATTAGATTCAGTTCCCTGCAGATATGCTAAAACGAATGAGATAAATGCTGAAACAAGGAGAATCTTCACAAGAACATCATCAAATTGTTCCAAGATGAGCTGCCAGGATGGCTTTCCCTTCTCCTTTCTGAGCTCATTCCACCCATATCTCTCCCGTCTCTTCTCAACTTCATATAAGCTTAGACCCTTCTCTAACTTGACACTGTACTCCTTCAAGCACTGCTCAACCGGCCATGACCATGCTGGAAATGGCTTCTCGTCCATGATTACAAAGAATTCAGATTCTCAAGTCAAGATCTTAGGTTTACTCCTGTCACAGAAGCATAATATCAAGCATCATCCAATATCCTGAAAAATATACTGGAGCAAGTCAAAAACAGTGGCATTGAAATTCATCATTGAATTTAAGCCAAATTTTGAAAATACAATAAAGTGTACTACGCGTTCCTAAGCAAAAAAAAAAAAAAACTTATGTTACTAATTGATAAATTAAATTCGTCAATAATTCAAGTTGCAAACAATACCTATACACGAAACAGATCTAAACTTCATTAACTTGTCATGTTCACAACAGCGTCAGGAAAGCAGACTGAAACAAAAGAATAAGGATAGAAAAATGGGATTATTAGATCAAAATAAATCGTTTCAGAATCTCTACCCTTCTTAACAGAATCAAAATCAGTGACTGGGCACTAAGAACAGAACAGTGAAGCGGAAGAATTTGAAAAGCGAAGGAACCGGAGCCAATGGAAAAAAAAATAACTTCCATGCACTAACTGAGAAGAAACAACCAAAGGAAACTACGTAGAAAAACAATAAGAAGACCCATGGCTCTTACCCGAATAACCGTAAAATATGATTCCTTTTCAAAATTTACAGGGACAATGAAGCAGAAATATGAACCGGTTGAATGACGCATGCGGCAAAGCGAAGCTGAAGAGAAAGGTTCAGAAGTGAATGAGGGAGGAAACCATACTTATATGTAAGGTCTGTGAATCTCGACCAGAGGTTTCGCTTAGTACCGACGCCAACGCGCACCTTTAGAAAAAGAGAAGTCGGGTCGAAGGAGAGGAGACTTTAAGAATATGAAACTAATGCGCCGCGGGAATTAAAATGCAAGCGGCGCTTCTTTCCCAATATTACGTTCAGAGATACAAGGGAATATTCCAATGAAATCAGGGTCGTCCAATTGACAAAAGAAAATACCAAAATTTCTTTTTAGCACAAGAAAATAATTTTTCCCTATTTTTTCACATTATTTAGGTATTATTGTGATGAAATTAATGTATTATTATTTTCTCAAAATATTTTCGGTATTATAATAATACAATAACGCATTAATATCACCACAATAACACATGAATAATAAAAAATAACACGGAGGAATATTCTCCTTGTGTTACCGGACCCGATCACAATACGGACCCGATCACAATAAAATTAGATCACAATAAAATTAGGTTTTTTTTTTTTTCCTATCAGCTCCACGTGAAGGCAATTCATTGGACTTTTCATTGGACTCCGGACTTATGTTATTCATTGGACTCCGGACGTAATAATTTTTCCTCCCAAAGAGGTTATTCCGTGCATATTTAGATGCACAACATTAAATTTTTATGTATTTATATATTTAACATCTAAATCTTTACAATTTTTACATATAATATCAAAATGTCTAAATCACATTAAAATATTTGTGTAAGGCTATATTAAAATTAAGATAAATTAATCTTAATAGTATTTTTTATGAGACAAATGAATGAATTATTAAAAAGATATATCTTTTAAAATATATGAAGAATTTATAAATTTAAATAACTGTATTATAGAAAATATTCTTTTAAATGTCTGGTTTCAAGCTATCAAGAATAAATAATTATAAGAACGAATTCATTAATTTATTTTTAAATCAATATTTTTTTTATTTTATTCTAATTATAAAATAAAATCTTTATATAATTTATGTATGCATATCACTTGTATTAACTCCCTTGTGGCATTCTATTAAGTACGTATTTTTTTAGCATCTTTCATGTGCATTTGGCTTACTAAATAAAGAGATGGAACATTATTAAAAAAAATACAATTTTCTTACAAACTTTTATTTAAAAAATGGCTTGTCTTTCTCCTTGTATAAAATCCAAATGTTTTTTTTTTTAATTTAAAAAATAATCTCAACCATTCATATGTTAAAATTCTATTAGTTAGAATTCAATGAATAAAGGTTCATGCATGATGAAATATAAAAATGTTCATTGTTCTTGATTTTAAATGATGACTCAGATAATTTTATTATAGCTTTATTTAGTACTCTTGTATCTAGAAATTAGTCAACTATTAATTACATATGTTTGGCCCAAGCCTCATTTAGTACTCTTGTATTTAGAAATGAGTCAACTATTAACTATGATGGTTGGCCCATTAATAGGGCTTAAGATAAATTGTTTTTGAGTGAGTGGCTAAAAAAATATGCAAATAGTTTCAAAGGAATGTTCTTACATACATATCATAAACTTTTTAAGCATTTATATTTTTAACATCAATTTTTTTTATAACTTGTATGACATTTAAATCTCTAAATCACAAAAGTAGAATATTACTAATATTAATTTAATTAAAGTAAAACGCACATTCCCTTACAATTTTTTGTGTTTGATATGTGAGATGTGATTAAACACTAAAGTGGTATACAAATTTTTTAATCCTTTTTGGACGTCGGGTTTCTTAATATATGCAAGTTCACACAATCCAGGAGAAACTATGTAAGAAAGTGAATGAAGATGATGGACTTATTCTCCAGGCCTAAACTATACAAAATGTTTTCTAATCCCCCTTCGACTGCCTCTAAAAGGCCAAAAGAGAGTCCCTTCTCTCCAATCTCTTTCTTCTTTTTGTAAATGTACAAGAAAATAATAAAACTGAAGTCATACAATAAAAAATATGTCCATGATGACTCATGAAAACATTGCGACTAGTGTTGTAATCAAGTCGAGTATGTCATGGTTCAAACTTGGCTTGGTATAATTAAAAGATGTTCATGTTAGACTTGAGCTTGTGTTGAGCTTTCATATATTGTTCAAGCTTGACTTATTTATATTTTTTAGTGTTTGAACTTAATTTTTAATGACAACTGAACAAGAATTTAGACGAGCTAATAAAAGAAAAAAATTCAAATGAGCATCAAGATTTTCATATAAAAATTTAATAAATAATTTGATAAATCTGAATGTACCTGCTAATTTATCGATTAAATATTTTTTAAATCATGATCTATGATCATTTTTTAGCATGATCATACTTTCAAGTTTGCACCCAACTCCCCTATTCAAATGTTGATGTTGGTTTTCCCATAATGATATGAACTTGTTCTTTTCCTAACTTTTTTAGACAATTTTGTAGATGTTTTTTATATTGAGTTATTGACTATTCTTATTCATAATCATATATAACTTACAATGATTGCATTGTACTTTCTCAACACTTCTTTTTCAAGTCAAACTTATGACAAAAATTGAAAGAGAAGATATAACACAAATTAGAGTCTCTGAGATCCTTGCACGTCGCGATCTAGTTTTTGCCTTCGATTCTTGTATGCCCCAATAGCTCAGGGTTTTCGTATGTCTCAAGCAAAACCTGGAGACACGAAACTGTGAGAGACTAGAGGGAAAGTGAAGTTCGTGATAGTTTAAAGTTAATTTTAATGGGTATTTCATACATACCAAATAAGTCTTATCTTTGAATATCTTAACACATAAACTTTAATAAAATAAATATATAGTTAATAATTAATCTAAACCATTGTTGCTATAATAATATATTACTGTTCAATATATTATTATATATATTATATGTTAATTAAATTTTATTAAAATAATATATCACATATGATACGAATTATTATCAAGCTTAATATCAAGTATTTAACAAGTTACTTGCTAAAGAACAAATGAGTTTGTTTGTGAACATAAATGAACAAATTTGATTATGTTTATTTTTAGTTCATTTAAGTTCCCAGCTTTTAAAAATTTTCAAGCTTGTTTATTTACTAATTTGAACGAACATGATCAAGTCTTAATCAAGCCAAGTTCGAGTTGTTCATCGAGAACGAGTGCACCTTCGAGCATAGCCTCATTAGGATCATCACATAGAGCATCGAACCTCAATCAGGTAATGTACATATACTTTCTTCTTAATGAATTGAAATATAAATAATAATATTTAAAAAATTAAAAGCCTTCTACATTGAATGATACTTGAGACCACTAGTCAAGTATGGAGAGCTTGTGAGCAGCCACTCTAGTGTTCGTAATTTACTTAAGCATTACAAATTACCAGCTTTATTCTAGTTGACGCTTATAGTTCATCAGACTGAACATCACTTAATAACTATAATGTTAGAGTGATAATATATTCTAACTAATATGTTTCATTTAATTTTATTGTAAAATGAGTATATATTAAATTATATATATTTAGATATTCATAGTTAATTATATGATAACAAAATATTATTATTTTAAATTAGGCTAGATGATTATCATGCTATTGGTTGTACATATTATTTTAGACATTATGGTAGATCGAGTGACCTTTATTGGACTTATAGTATTTACCCCCAAGTTGGCCAAATTGTTGTGATGATATATTTGAAAATGATCTAGATGTAGATGTACAGATGCAACAACCTAGAGAAGAAGGTATCATGATAAACTTTCGTATGCATCACTCCCAATCCCATACAATTATGCATCTTCATTGGCATAGATGAACCTTTTTACAGAGAATCTTACAAGGGATTACCCAAATCTTTTTTTTATACATGTTTGGGCATACTTTTGTGTAAGTTATATTGCTTTTTACTTCTCAATATATTATGATCACATATACATTCATAATATTTACCGTTACTTGAGAATTTAATTGTATTTTCATAATTTTTGTTATGAGTTTTTTGCTATAACAATTATATAGAGAGTTAAATATGTTCATAAAGTCTACACATGTTAAGATAGCACGATGTTTAAGGTGCTCGGAGCATTTGGATGTTGACAGATCGACTCTTCATGTTCCTAGTTTTAGGGGCTTATCTTGCAAGCCTTTAGGATTCAAATAAATTTCATGTAAGGAAATATGTATTTAAAATATATGTTTAAATTTCATAATAATATCAACTATAATATCCAATTGAAATGGGGATAAAGTATGAGAGGTGCCTAGAAGAAATCTACAAATGTATAGAGATTAATGCAAAGTCCGATATTTTTTTTCAAATATAATATCTCTATATTCTTGTATATTATTTATATATTTTATGAGCAATCATAAAATTTGGCTTAAAGGTTATCTTGACACCATATCTTAACGATATTATGATGTTGTTGTCATATATTTATCTTGTGAGTATGTAAAAATGGACAATTTGAGTTGCTCTTTTTAGGTGAAAGCTTGTTGATTGACATCTTCTAGATTAAGTAATGCAACAGTTTACTTCTATATAATCCACATTATTTCAACTTATATATCAGTTATTTTGAAGGGTTGATGGTCGAATGAAACCAAATAGAAAGTAGATGCATTATTATCAAAATTACTTTCAGTTATGGAACAACCGTCAGACGCTCATAGTACCATTAAACTTATCGTTAGGTGATGAAAATGCATTGCTAGCACATTACTTATAATGATATATATCCTATGCGTCAATGTACCTAATAGAACATTCTACTCACTTAGAGAAAAATTAATGATGTGTATATAGTTTATATTCAATTTACAGTTTTTTTTCTCATACCTGATCTTCATATAATTAAACGTGAACTTATGTAGATGAACTACTATATATGATTAAAGAGCATTGCTAGGAGATTCATATGTGGTAATGATAAAAAATATTATGGATATGCAATAATAATATGAACTTTAAGAGCTTTCCAGCATAGTAGAATAACGTGGTTGACCAACTAATAGAGCGTGCTTTCAGAAGATCAACTTCTGATATTGCACATCGATCACTTGTGAATATTTCAAGATGATCAACTGCAGATGCTCTGAGAATATATTTTGCTTATCCCGGTCCCTCAACATTTGCATGTCTTTCAACATCACACAAATGTGCATCTTATGCTGCACATTTGACTACTGTTGAGAGTGGATAATTCGATTTACAGTTTCATATGAGACATGATTTTGACGGGCCTTTACTTTACATGGAACAAAAGACTCCATTGTCACATCAAATCGAGAAGAGATAGAAGAAGAAGATGAATAGAAGCATCAATTAGAAGAACAATCATTTTAAGAGCCATCAAAATATACTTCAGGATCAAACGCTATTCGACCAGGCCAAAAAGATAAATTTGCATTATTTTTAAAGTTTCTATATTATCTTGTATGCACTATTATTTCAATATAGTTTAAAATTACTTTAAAACATATTGCATCATTTTAAATTTTTAATTTTGGAAGTTCAAATTTATTAAAAATAGATTATTTAAGCAATTTAAATTATTTTCATTGCTATATACATAATTTAATCGTTATTTTCCTTTGAATAATCTTAAATTTAAGACTTATTTTTAAAATTTTTAAAAATTAATTATAACATCATTATTATTATTATTTAATTTATATAATTGTCTAATTTTAATTTTTAACTTAAATAATTTTTTATATAATCATTAAATAAATCATTTAATTAAAAACTATCAAAATTGGATATATAACACATAAAAATTTTGCTGTTTTTGTTGCATGAAATGTGCATTAAACCCACATTTTATAATTATAATTATATATATATATATAATTTTATTAAATAAAATCGGGCTCATAAGCCTTAAGTAATACATTAATATGTTCGTTTTATAAATTGCCCTATTGCTATTGCGGACGGCCGGGTTCATTTTCAGCGTCCAATTTGATTATGGGCGCGAGTTGCTCCTCTATCGCATTCACTCAGACCACCCTGACCATATCGAGCGTTTCTTCTTCCGCCACTTCTCTTCCCCACTATAGCCACAACTGGATATCCAGTTTCATCCCCACTTTTCCTAGAGATCGCGCCGGATTTTCTCGAACGTCTTTCCATATCTCCGGCTGTCCAATGATGAACCCTTCCTCGTCTTCTTCGCACATTTCACTGGGATTCAGTAAATGCGGCGAAACCAAAGAAGCGCAGGAGAAGGTGGTTCCCAAACCATTCCGGCCTCCTCTAAGTATCTCGCAGGCGTTGCGGGAGAACTTGGTGTACGATGCTTTGGTTTGGAGTTCGTTAAACGGGCTGGTTGTTGGGGATAGAAGTGTAAAGGTGATGCGAATTCGAACCCGCATAACCTAAATTTGTAGGATGGTTGTCTTTTTCTTGCTTTGTCGATTTGGACCACTATTTCTACAAGTTTAATTTTTTTTAATTGTTTGAAATTCCTCAACCCGTGAATGCGAGTTCTTAAGATTAGTTTTACTGGATGCCTATAAGTTACGAAACTATCAAATAATCCTCTTACAAATGTGCCTTTCAAGTCTTTTAAGGCTTTTAAGGCGACAGTACTAGTTATTTGTAAAAAAACAAATTAGGTCAAGCATCTTTAGGAAAAAAAATGCTATTAGTACTAAGTTGAATGTCACACATTGTGTAGCGAAACATGTAATTCATGTCATGATTTCTCGATAAATGTTTCGCTGGCTGTTGACTAGCTAAAGCAACCCTCTATTTTTCATATCTAGAGCTTGGGACCTGGCAATCACAGTGTAATTATGCTTATATATTTTAGATGAGATTTTGTTTCTGTTGGGAATTGAGAATCAATAAGGATTACACCTGCTGTATAACACTGATTTCTTGTATTCCATTCAAAATTAAGAACTGCCCTAGCAGGAAAGGGGGTTCATCTTGAAGGAATTTTCTTGGCCTTCAAGAAGACTGTTTGAGAGCCCACGTATTCTGTTAACCTTTTCTATCCTTTATACTGCAGATTACAAATCAGGCCCATAGAGTTTTTCATAGCATTATTAGGCTTTGAATCTTGGACTTGACCAATTTGCCACCCGTATAAAAAGAGCATGATTGAGAGAATACTTTCATGATTCTAGTTAGGTGGGATTGATATCTATTTTTCACCAAAGTAATTGAAAATCATGTTTTCTCTGGCTCTTATGCTAACATGGTTAAGCAGATCTCAAATTAATGTTATTTCTGGTACATTTCATTAATGGAACTTATTGATGAATATTTCTAGGAGCTTGAATAACTGAACCCTTGCTAACTTTTTTGTTCCAAATCAGCTATTTGTCCATATATAGCATGCATCTCTTTATCTTTATAAATATCTTTCATTTATTTCTTAAATAACTAATGTCAGATCAAAATAGTAAAGTTAATTTTTTTTTTAATTGCTGAACATAAATAAAACTTAAGTTTTCTGCTACTTTTTGGTTAATTTACAATGATATCACCAACAATAATTGATGGATCCTGTAAAATATAATAATCACTATTTCTATTATTTCAAGTTCTTTTATAAGTCCTACATTTTGTTTTGCTGGGCATTTATTATGTTAAATAATCCAGCATGTTGTATATTGATTCCATAATTTTATCTTTTAGTCAGTGAAACATGAATTGTGGTTACTCTAAATGTGTTTTGCTCTTCTTGACATTTCTACAAAGAGATCTATTTGCTTAAAAAATTTTATTTTAATCAGTGATCCAAGTTTAGTAGCACCATTATAGTGTCCCTTTTTTTAACTTAATATGTAATATATGAAGCCTAAAAACTTGGAGAGCTTGATTCCATGCAATCAAAAGTTAACTAGTCATGAAATCCAGGTCATGCCTGGCTCGAAGTTTTGTGTACCTTGAAATTTTATATGTGCATAATTGTTTCACAGAGGTCTGGAACCACCCCTGGTGTTGGTATGGTTCATGCTCCATTTGCTTTATTACCCCTGCCACTACAAGAAACTTATTGGAAGCAAGCATGTGAATTACAACCAATTTTCAATGAGCTTGTAGATCGTGTAAGCTTGGATGGAAACTTCTTACAGGATTCCTTGTCCAGGTTTAACTCCAATGTCGTCATTTTATGTATCGCATTACTTTACTGCTATTAGTTCTTTGATGACTTTGCTCCATCCACCTAATTGATTATTTTTCTAAACTAATCTACTTAGCTTGGTGTTACTATATTTATGTGCAAATTTGTTGCATATTCCTTATTTGTGTTTTTGGGAATTTGTACTTTGATCCTACTGTTTTGCCTAATTTTGCATTTTTGGATGTCACTTCTTAGAAGCCGTATAAATTGGACTTTTGGCTTTGAAGATTGGGAAAATCTATTATGTAGTTTGATCTAGTTAAGAGACTATAATATATTTTCAAACAAATTCTCCTCCTTGTACTAGTATAAATTGATCCATGCCTCAATTGGAATCAATAGCGTTGTGACCTAGGGGTGGATCGACAAATATTTTTGATTGAGGTTACTATAAGATACATCATTAAAGAGATAAAAATAAAATATAATTTTATTGAGTCCAAGTAACACAACTTGATTACAAAAGAAAGGATAAAAAATAGAACAAGAATGAAAGTCTTACCGGTGTTTTCTTTGAACTCTTAAGCTTTCTCAAGAGCATTTCATGATTACCGTTACATATGTTGATGCGGGGCGTGAAGTCTAGCAGCTTGATTGGATGAGTTGGCCAGCCGCGAGCGGGAGTGGGAGTTACCGCTCCATGCGCGCTTTCCTTCTCTGTTTGCCTCAGGCCGCCTTTCTTTCTCCGTGTGCCGCCCGCCTCCCCTTTCTTTTCAATTTTCCGCCCAAAGGGGAGAGGACTTCCCTTCCTATTCTATATAGCTATTATATATTTGTTGTTTTGCTTGCTTGGGGCAGTTTTGTATTGTTTTTGATTGCAAATTCCTGCTTTTTCCCTAGCTAGGTTTGTATCCGATGGCTAGGTGGTTTTCTGGTTGTAACTTGCTCTAAGGTAGTGACTATCTCGACCCATTCCCTATTGCCGTCAACTACTTTTGCATCATCCCTACTGCCGCCAGCCTTTTTGCCCCCTTCCAGCCGCGACAACACCTTTATGCCTACTTCTAGCCGCCGTGGGTCCTTTCCAACCTACCTCTGGCAGGGTCCAAGCCTCTCTCTCTCTCGACTCTACTACTGCTAGCTATCCCCTATGCCCCTTGTTCCAGCCGACAACTCTTCCTGCCAACCTCTGCAACCACCACCTCTCAACCTACTCACTTCCCTTCCTCTTAGCTGCAGACCACCATATTCGTCTTCACCCTGGGGTGTTTTTTATTATTTGTGTGTTGTCTTTCTAATTGTCATGAGTCTTGGGTTGTAATTTCTTTTGAAATTCAACAATATTAGTTGTATTTCTATTGGGATTTAGGTTAACTCTGACATCATTTGACATCAGAGTTAGCCTAACCTGAGTCCTATCATAGAGTTTCTTAGTATCTGCTTCTACCCAAACCACCCTCACCAAAATTTTTCTTTGATATTTCCAAACTATAGCTAAATTTTGATCTAACCCCAAATTTTCTCTTGCTGGTTTTTAAAATCAGCAACCCTCTAAACCCTAGCCATACTACTCGGGAAGAGATACAATGAGAGATCTGTCGATTTCAATAGATATTGGAGGACTGAGAATGACACCCAGGGGGCTTACGCTTGATGGTGATAGGGAATGTTGAAGAGGCGAAAGAGACGAGAATTTTAATCCCTTCCATAGAGAGGATTTCAGTGATGAAGAAGAAAGGTCTTGTCATTTTCTGAATCAAGTATCGTAGGGGGCCTAGAGAGGAGACATCATTAGGAGGACACAGATTTTGAAATAAAGGTGGATCTACCAGAGTTTGATTGAGGTATGAACTTATATGATTTTATCGAATGTCTGCAATTAGTTGAAAGGATCTTTGAGTACAAAGAGATGCCGAAAGATAAAAGGGTAAAACTTGCAGTTATCAAATTAAGAAAGAACACCTCCTTGTGGTGGGACAACTTGCAGAGGCAGAGGAAAATAAAAGACAATGATAAGTTTTTCAAGTGGAAAAAGATGAAGATAACGATGTGTGGAAATTCTTCCCACTCCATTACTGCTAGGATATGTTTCTGAGGCTCCACCACCTGCAGTAGAGAGATCTTTTAGTAGAGAAATTAACGTCGTAATTTGATCACTTCTAGATGAAGTATGATTTGGTCTAGCTAGAGAAACACACCACAACCTGCTATTTGGGGGACTTGAAGTCTGTTATTATCAATGTGGTGCAGTTGCAGTTTTATTGATCACTTGAAGGTATCCAGACTTTAAAATTGAAAGTGGAGAGATGACAAAAATAAAGGAGACCACACTACCAGTTAGGCAGCCACCCACAGTTGGAGATTCCAGCAGGAGCATGCCTCATGGAGTTGAGAAAATTGGTTCAGATAATGATAGAGCCATCTACAATGAGAAGCCTGAGAAGAGTAACACCCCTATCATAGTCCCCTCTAGAAAATGCTTCAGATGTCAAGAGCAAATTGGCTCCAGCTACCTGAGTCATGTCTTTTACCGAGCAGGGCGTCGTGGAGGAGGTTAGCAATGAGGAGACGCCTAGAGAATAGGGTGGGGAATGAGAGGTGCTCATTGTTCGACGGGTCTTATAGATCGAGGATATGAGGGGTTCAAAGTGGTTTTGTCACAAAATATTCTACACTTGTTGTTTCGCCTCTTTGCTTCCAGGATTTTGGTGGTTGATTGACCTTCTCTTTTTGTTTTGTTTTGTTTTATTTTCTTTCCTTGCTTCATGGTTTAATTTATGGGTTTATGTTTAAATATAAGCGCACATATATTACTTTGGATATATATGAACCATCAAGCAAGTCGATAAGTCGGATGGTTTAGGGGTTCCAGGGTGGTGATGATAAAAAAATTGCCAATAAAGTAGAATAATATTGTATCCTACGACACTTAACCCAATGACTTGGTGAAAATATAAGATGACAATATTATTCACCGACATTAGACTAGTGATGACCCTTACTTTCTTAGACTGCAGGTAGTCTTAACCCGATAGTGTAATTGACTTGTGGACAACCCGTTTCTTCAAAATACATAAATATAACAACAAAACAAATAGATTCCTTAGAATGTAAATACTTTTGATTGCCAAATAATAAAAAATTCTATATGCAAAACAAATCATTAGTTTTAGATGATACAATCTGAATGTACACTAATCAGTTACCTGTATTGGGTTAAGAATTATACTCCTAATATTGTATTGTTAGAAATTTCTAATTGAATGTCGGGTTTTATGTACGTGGATGATTGAAGGTTGCCTACGGAGTCTTTCGGGAGTGACAAATCTGAGCCCACCCCGAATATGAATTATTATGGTCTACTTCTATCTTTTTTAGGTCACATGTTCTTTTACTTGTCACATATTCTTTTATTTACAATTTGATTCTTGCATTTCGATATACACACATGTTTGTTCTGCTAGTTAAAATTCTCTATTATATTTATTTATTTTGCTTATGATATTGACATTTTTGCAGCAGCAGCAGACACGTCAGATACGCATGTCTATTTTATATTTACTGCATTTTATAATCTTTGTTGCACCTTTTACTAATTTTCTTTACTATTTATACTGTTTTTCTTTATTGCGCTTTTACTATTCTTCTGTTCCTGCATTTACTCATACGACCTGCAGGGCCACATAGGATAAAAAACAATAGAACACCTGGTTAGAAAACACCCTATAACAAACTATTAGACCCAACAACTGCATGTACAAATAAAACTCTAAACCCATGACCGATACGATAAGGAGCTTGGAGCAAACTTCGTGGGCAACACGACGAAGATGTAGCAAACGGAGGATGACTTCTGACAACAACAAACACTCAACAACAAAATAAGATTCACTTCAATTAAGCCTTTATGTAGAACTAAATAACAATTCCATATGACTTCGAGGTAGTTCGTCCAACACGACGTAAATTCTCACTCTATATTTACCATTTTGCACAACTCTATTATGTAATATAAGTCCTAATACTTTTTAAGATTCCTAGGTCGTCGTTCGAGATGACGTAAATTCTTCTATCTTTCAAGTTTTTTGCATAATTGAGTATTATAAAAGTCTAAATCCTAAATAATAATTGACAGGATTAAAAATTAAATAAATTTTATTTCAAACATGTAAACCAAACAATATGGTAATTGTGAGGTCATCGATGTTATTCTCGGAGCCGTGATACATCCTATTTTTTCTCTCCCCTGGGCTCCTAAAAATAACTGTTCTTACTTGAGTCACTTTCCTTTGAAATTTTTGTGTTTAATCTTGAAAACTCAACTTTGAAATCTTGAAGACAGAATCACTGATCTTAGTCGAAAGTTTTCTTAAGTGACTTCAGTTATTTGAGATGTAATTAATTATAGGGGTTTGCCTCTATAAGAAACTAAGAACCCGGGCAAAATAAACCCTTTCTAATTTTATATTAGATAGGAGAACTTGTCACTCATACATAAAAAATTCATAGATCAAACGGATATCACAACTTCTTAATTTAAATGCTTGAGCCTACTACAGGTGGTATGTTTATCTTTCGGGATTATGTACCACTTAGAACATCGTGCTCAATTATTTAAACTATTAGATACGCGAGATCTATTTGTTCTCATCTACTTCAAAAATTAAAATACTATTTTTCAAATCAAAATTGCATATATAAATTAAATCAAATTTAAATCATTTCCGAAATTCCGACCGACAAATTCTGACGAGAGGGCCGACTTCGCATTGCATTCACTTCGATAAACCTCGATATCCTACCATACTCATTGGAGATCCAAGCCACTTTAGATTTTGAAGAGTATGAAACCTCCCAATTTAAGAAAGATTGAATAGTAGGTATTAAAACTCAAAATGGAGTTGATTATACCTGCCCAAAGAAAAAATGAGGAAGGTATGCCAAAAGAAGAAAGTATGGACAACAATGGACATTGACACACTACCGATGTATGAAGACAAAACTTTCTGATCAAAATAGAGAGA